AAACAAATACAGAAACGAATCCGGACACGAACCCAATCGCGAACACGACTACACTAACCTAAACACGAACCCAGACAGGAACCGGACACGAAGCAGATACGAACCGGACCGGAACCAGACACGAACCGGGAAATGCGACTGATGCTTAGTTTCATTCACCAAAGACAGCATTAGAGCCTCCGCCAAAAACCTATGAAATCTTATTTCCGCGAGAATGCATCCCTAAAACTACCAAGTGCCGGGAGAGACGCGCTCGTGACACTAAACTTTCCAGGGTTTTAGTCATGCGAGACAACCATGCAAGAAACTTTCACGAAGAAGCGCGCAAAAGGACCAAATTACAGGGGGCCAGGGACACGCACAGAATCATAGACGCAACTAGCACGACGCCGTTTTATTAGAGAAATCTTAGAGGTTATACCTAAGATATGAATAATCTTAGAGTATTGTAGCCAGCAGAAGATATATCATATCATATCTGAAGGCACACAATATGAAGACGAACGAAGCGAAGATCGCAACTCGATTGGGATTGTTTACAAAGAAAATACAATGAATAGCAAAATCATGCAAATCCATAAGTCGATTGCTGTGTAGTCGGCACCAATCTGGGGCGATTTTTGAATCTCGAGGGGCGCTGTGTGCCATCACTCCAACTCATCGTCGATGCACGCGCAGCAGAATGAGCAGTTCGAATTTTCCTTCGACCTCCAATGGTATTCTTTGCCGATTCCCTCTTTCCCACATAAACAACAGTTGGTGAAGATTCCTGAAAAGTAGACTTCTTTGCGACGGACAACATTTGCTCTGCGATAATTAGCAGCACGTCGACGTGCATCTTGGACGACCTCCAGTTCTTGCTCCGCAGCTTTCCGCTTGCTGTGTTCTTGTCGCTCTGCTTGCTCCGCAGCTTTCCGCTTGCTGTGTTCTTGTCGCTCTGCTTGTTGAGCCTCTCGACATGCCTGTTCCGCCCGCTGCACATGCTGACGAAGCTGATGTACTGTTTGGTGGATTTCCTGCAATCTCCTTTCCGACTGCTGTAGATCTTCATGCAGTTTGCTGACGTCCTGACTCAGCACTTGATTCCGTGAAGCCAGAGTAGTATTCTTCATCCGTAGGCTCCAAGCGCATGCAATGGCAATTGTGGTGCCGCCAACGAGAAGTCCATGCCAGATCGACAAGAGAGCTTGAGAAGATTGGATTTTGCGTAAATCTTTCTCGCATTGTTGCACAGCAACTTCAACTACAAGTGGCAACAGTAGCGATCGAAAGGTACAATACAGGCAACACAGCTGTGCAGGCACGAAGACTATGTGTCCCCATTTTCCAGCCGTCGAACCAAATCGAACTCGATCGTCCTCCTTTACCAGAAACGTCTGCATCTGCTGCATTTGGTTCTTCTCGTCCTGCAGCCTTTGTGTCTGTTCCTTGAGCTCCAAGTTTTCTGTGAAGAACGCGGTCTCATTCGGAACTTCGCCTACCTCGTCAGGTTTCAACTCCTCCAGCTTAAAACAGCACTCAGCCCACTTCGCTGGTGTCACGAAGAGGTCTGCACGCAGGGAAAGCTCGGTGGATTCGCAGATGAAAGAACACGTCTGATACCGATAGGTTGCTTTTTCTACATCGGCGTTCACTAGCTCGTAAAGCTCTTTGAGCTGATAGCAATCGTTTCGTTCGACATAGCGGCAAAGTGCAGAAGCAAAAACTCCATCCCGGGCTGCTTGTCCTGACTTACAGGACCTGATCTCGGCATGCTGAAGCTGAAGCTTATTACGGACGGGATTTGGTGGCTTGTGTGGCAGCTGCGGTGTGTACATGCGACAGCAATCCCAAAAGGCAAGACATGCCAAGCCTTTGGAAGAGCCAGCCTTTTTGGAGATTTTCGCAACGAGATTATCGGTGAGAGTTTTCGCAGACATAAACCCATGTGAAGCGTTGTTGCTGGAGTGCCCGACATCAGATAGGCACACATTCAACTGCCCTGCTGCATTCTCAACCCCATGGCCAGCAAAATACACCACCACGGTCGTAATCTGGCCTTCCTCAGCACAATGTTGAGCCACCCGCGCAGTGACGAAATCATCCATCTTCCTGTAAAAGCGTCCATATCTGCGGCATTCTCCACAAGGTACGACTTGTAGCCAATGGCTGTGAAGGCTTTCGCTATCTTTGCGGCATCCTTCACACCATTTTCTAAAGGTTTATAATCAGCATGTGCATAGCGAGAAATGCCCACACAAAAGCAGAGCCTATATGGGCTGCTGGCTGGTACTTCATTATCAACATCGTCTCTCACAGAAGGCCAACCGCTGCTGAATATACTCTTCCACAGAGCCGGGCTCTCTCTGAACTTGTGCCACCACTGCTTTGCAGCATTGACGGCCTGCCGCATCGCTTCAGCCACGAACCACGAGCATAACACAAATGTGAAAGTTGAACCCAAAGCGAAGCCTGCCGAAAAGGTAGCACATGGGGTCGAGAAGGTCAGCGCTAGGCAGAAGAGCGGCAATAAATGCATCTCGTTCCAAAACAGCAATTGAAATTCGACAGCTTTCCACACGCTGACGCCTCTCGGCAGTTTCAGAACGTCCCAAGACCAAGTGTAGGCACAAACGGCTGCAATCTCGTTGCTCATGCCACTGCTGGATGGGTCCATGCCGGCAACGAGGTCGGACAACCAGCTGGATCAAAGAGTCACACCCTTGTACATGGTCACTCTTGCTTCGAGAATGGTAGGAAACCAGAGAACGTCTGAAGATGGTAATGATGGGATGCTGTCTGTACTTTGTACTTTGTACATTATATCAGCCTGGGCCGGCATATCAGAATCTGCACGCATATCTTGGCTAAAAGCTGGGCAAGCTCTTACATCAAGTCGGACACTCCGTTTCTGATGCAGTGGGGATGAGTTGCTGTGAGTTCCAGAAACAGGGGAGTATGCTGGGTGACTTGTTTGCTTTGTTGCCAATACGTCAGAGGTCTTTTCGAATTCCTGGGGGGTTGGGGCTCTCGTAAACATACCACAACTTCGGGCCTACAGCTGGTCACATAGCCAAACAAACCAAAGCTCGAACGTCAGTGCGCAAGCTTGTTTTCCTCCGGAAGGTGCCACGTGCCCATGCTTGCGGCGAAATTACATAGGTGTGCAAAGAGGAGCCCGGAACACGCCTTTAGCTTGTGCTTGGAGTCTTGGGGGGTGTTGCCAGCAAGAACGGCTGCAACGAATGTTTGTGATGACATTGTCACGGGATTTTCAGTTCACGCAGGCAGACCTAGACACACAACTTATGGCACGAAGTTTGCACACACGACCACATTTCGCTGCTCGATATTGCTCCAGACTTTGAAACATGAGGACTACATGTCGAAACACATCCGAACATCTTGAACTCCGTGATCCAAAATCCCAAACCGTTCCACATTGTATTTACTCAAGCACGACGCACATACACCTCGTATCAGTTTTTTCTTTACGAGCGGCAATAGCAAGTACAATAAACCATCGTAGCACCAACAGGAGTACAGCCATAGTCATAGTCTTCAAGCCCCTACGAAGCCTTACAGTTCTGCTCTCGACAAGCTCAAGTTTTACACCATAAACCTGATGCATCGAGTTCCGGCGTCTCTCGTCTCAACGGTGTTCCAGGCTCTTCAGTTGCAGCCTGTTTTGGAGGGGTGCCGAAGATGAAGCCTGAATCCCAAACCCTATGAAGTAAGTCTTCCGGTTTTGGGATCGGCCGTTTGCTTCGTACTACCTAAGCCCGCCAACCTCAAACCCTGAACCCTCTTGTTTGAACAAGGAACCCCGAAATGCGATTAGATGAAATCATAGGTGCGACGACGGTCTTCCTTGCCAGCTCTTTTGAGGCGTTCACCCGAGTCTTGTCAGTTAGGGCTTACCTTGCTGATGCGGGAGTCCTTCCGGGTTCCTCGGATTCTCACAACCAAAATCTCAGTAAGGGGCCTTGATATATGATCAGAATAGAGTCTGCGTGCATATTATACTATGATCATAATAAGGAGCCCCTAAAATAGTATGGGAAATTGTTGAGGCCCCTATATTAAACCGAAGCCCTGAGGCGAAAGAGGACTCTGCAGGGGTACGTTTGGGTGGCTCAAGGAAGGCCGCCAAGGAAGCAGAGATTGCCCGAGGGCGAGCATAAGCGATTGCGCCCTTCTGTGGGAAGCCTTGTAGGGATGATACCTTTAAAGGAAAGTATGGGGTTCTTTCATGGGGTCCCCTCAAAGTGAACTATAAGGTGACAAAATAGGGTCCCCTGAACGGTTTTTTCTTGGGTCATTATTCTCGCAAAGATCCTGCTGCTGCCGGCCAATACTGGGGGTGTCTTGGCCGTTCGCGTTTGGGGTTCCTAAAGTTGCGCTTTCAGGGTTCAGGCAGGGTTTAGGGCTGGGTGCGTTTAGCAGTCAGGGAAGCCGTATGCTCCGAATCCGTACAGCCCTTGTGAATAAGGCGTCGATCTTTTGAGTCCACTGCACATGATAAAAGCCATTAATGTCAACCGTCAAGCAGCCGAAATGAGCCCTGGAAATCGGATCTCTCGCCGCAGGATTTAGCATCGTTGTTGCTTCGGTTGTAGGGTCATTGTTCGCGAGAGCCCTAAGCCCCGTAAGTAGGGTTGTGAAGTGACTAGCAAGGAAGGGCTTTTAGCAGTTGTCTCTTATCAACCCACAAAGCTGTATAAGGCTCTGAGACAGGCCTTGCAAGATCCGTGTTATGATCCTTATCGGAGCGGGATCGTTCATCAGTGGTCTAAAGCACAGGGACACCAAAACTGAGAGAGTGGTGTTGTGCAATCTGGAAGAACTTCCGGGTCTTCCCGACACTCACTCCGCTGCTTAGGGCCTGTGTAGGTTCCTGATTTTCGGACACGTCCAGTAACCCACACTCTATGCAAGCAGATATACCAGCAATGCAACACTGACCCTGACATCCTAAACCCTGTGAGCTGATCCTAAATGCCTCTAAAATGAGCCCGCAGCATCCTACATTGACGGCCTCCGACAGAAGCTGCGTATTTGCTGAGACGAGAGCTGCTGCACTCTGTTTTGGCTCTCTAAGCCGGAAGCTTCCTTGCTAAGGGGCTCGAAGAAAATGCTTCGGAGTCTACTTAGAGGATCATGGGACTTAGTAAGTATGGTTATAAGTAGGTTATAATTAGCGTAACCCCACTTAGGGGAATTATAGCCCCAATTATAACCTACTTACTAAGTCCCATTTGGGTCAGGATTCTGGGCTCAGGGTTTCGGCGGTGTAGTGCTGTCCACAAAGATGCCATACAGGACTAAGGCTGCTGTCCGTGCCCTGAACCCTAAAGCATCGCGCGATTCTTCTTCCAAGATCCCAACTTCAGCGTTACCCGGTGTTGAACGCACGAATCTGCTGAGGAACGGAACCCCGTGCCGTAAACCTAAGGACCGAAACGCGTATGCCGTACAACCATAGGCATCTTAAAACTCTTCAAAAGGCCTGCAGCAGCTCACATCTTCCACGACCACAGAGGCCGTCATCCGAAAACCGAAGAACTGGAAAGCTCTGTGCGCCGAAAAGGCGGTTCGCGCCGATGGAAGCGATAACTGGGAAGCGTCATCTCATACAGAGTTTCATACGGTGTAGGATAGTATACTATACTCGACTGTGCCCGACTCTACTATACGAAAATACCATATTATATACATTCCAACCATAAATGCGTGAACTTCTGTCGTGGCCACAGCAGCGGGGTAGTAATGTGACACAGTTTGGATGTGAGGCCATCTACTTTGTTGCAGTTCTGTGTGCTTCAGCACCAAGGGTTGCGCCTTTTGAAGAAGATTCAGAAAATTACTCAGGCAGAAGTTTGGTTTTGCGATTTGCAGAAACTCGAAACACCCTACACCAGCACTTCAAACCCTAAAGCACGAGCCTTGGTTAGCACAAGCCTTTGGTCAAGCTCGCCGATTTCATGGTGGGCTTCGCACATGCCACTCAAAGCCTGCAATGCAGAAATTCGAAAACCCAAACTCCAAAACCCTACAACCCCACAGCCCTCGAAGTTTTCGAAACCCTTCCTACGAAGAGTCATTTCTTGCGCACTACCGGAGCATGTGGAGCAGCGGCTGCAATTCAGCGGATCAGTACCTGTGCTCCTGGAGTGCAATCCACAACTAGCCAAAATCCTATACCCTGAACCCTAAACCCTAAGCTCAAAGACCTAAACTCAACCCAAGTCCTCGGCCCCTGAGCAAAAAGCCCTGAAACGAATCCCCAACTTTCCCAAGAACCTCAACCTTTGAGCCCCAGACTGCGAGGTAGGCACTTCAGGGGATACCATGCATCAGCTTTGTACTCAGCCTTGTGTACGGTGGCTGAGAAGGCGCAAGGGTTACCATGCCCATGCCGACGACGCGACAACACCAAGAGCCACAACGAGAAGATAAATGCTCAAGGCTTTGTGTTTAGGATTTGGTGTAACTGCGCAGGCCCACAATCTACCCAAGTACTGTGCGCTCAGCATCGGAAGTACCGAGTAGGCAAGTTAAGCCAATCAGCCGTGAATGAGCAAGAGCGCAATGGGAGTTTGGCATTGGGAAAATGAAAATGAGGAACCCTAAAATACACCCTATTCTGAACGGCGGGGTCATGAGACCAGGAACTCCGAGTTTAAGACTCTCCCAAATGAACTTCGTCTTGCTGCGGTTGGGTCCTCTCGAGCTTACCGTGCCGCCGAGCCCGGGGCCGGCAGTAGCGATCGGAATCTCCTGGCATGGTCGAAGAATTGTAGTCTTGGGGCTTTAGGGTTTAGAGAGTCTCAGATATGTGACGATTTTGGGTTTGGAATCCAGGGGTTGGGACTTCATAGGTCAGGGCTTTAGGGTGCAAAGGGTTTCAATCCAGGCCCGTGCCGGAGCGCAAGACCACGTCCTTACAATGCATGCCGCCGCATCCACGGATGCATGGGGTCGTGTCGTACAGAACCCTAAACCCCCCCCTAAGCCCTACGGAAGGAGATCTGTTAGGTTTGAAACAGAAACGGATTTTCAACTGCTTCAGCGGGCTTGTCGAAGATTTTCAGCAAAGTGCCAACTC